GCGTCATGATGACAAGATTAGCTCTTGTCGTCACTCAGAAATGTGTTTCTGTATCTTAGTATTCATTAGTCAGTCCCCTGACACACTGTTTATACATATAGATACATTGTTCAATTAGGGTGTCGGCTGCTTGTAACACATGTTATTTGGTTACCAGTTTAACGGTGTAGTAGGCCGTCACCACCACCACTACTCTCACCATCCCTGTACTGTAACGTACAATGGGATTACGGACTATGGAACCGAGGGTCAAAGCGCACCCACCCCTCTGTCTGTCTTCTTCCGTCATATAACCCTGTGCATCATAACCTTGTTAAACGTATGCTGTAAATACATTACATGTATACATTGCGATTCCCCTAAGGCCTAAGGAGAAGTGATACGGGCAATAAAAGTGATAACCACCAAACGCAGTAGTCGAAACTGCGATAGGATTCAGGTGCACGACTTATCTAGTCATGAATCTGCACAGTTGTCTCGCGATGGACATCACCTGTCCTGTTTTGTAACATCGGAAACAATTGTATTGCGCAAAAGGGTAAATTGTAATTCATACGGACAAAATATTGATGATATCGAGGAAGGTTAACCATACGTATATATCCGAAAAGGGGAAAGATGCTCACAATAGGTATCGGAGATCACCCCAAACTAATCAAATTGATGAAATCTTTATGATTTGTCTGCACATTGCGGTTTGTCAAACGGTAAACAAGTACAAACGAGTACATGGATTATTTGTTCACTCAATTTTATCGTATATTCTTACACCGAATATGAACAACAAAACGATTGTCACGATAAGTTTGAAACTTGTAAATATGAAAAATAAAAAACAAGTTATACGCTACACGTGTGGTTTATAAACACGAAAAAATCAAAACGCGTAAATCCAATAATCGTCAGGATGACACTTTGTCAACACTAAGCGTACGACGCAAAAGATTAGTTACCATACTGTTGTCATTTTTGTGCGCCCAAAGAATTTCCACCTTTTCGGGAAAACGATATTTCACAATATTACACGAATAATAATTTGTATACGAGTAGAGAGACTCAATTGAGTCGTACAAACATAGGACAACACATATTGTTTATTCATATCTAGTTAGGGACTTGTAATGCGTATTTATGCGTAACGTTTGTCGAAAGAGTAAACAAAGTTATACGGTTCCTTTGGTGTGCATGTGCGTGTTTGAGTTGAGATTTTCCACAGCGGCTGACGGTGCCGCATATATACACAGCAGTGCACGACAACGTATACACCGGAGAGGAAAATAGCAAACGAAAAACGCCGTGAGTTTCAACACAAAGAGAAAACTTTCGTACGTTAAATAGAAGAAAAACCGTCAAAGTTAATTTTCCTCAAATCATCAATAGGGTGTTTTCAAAACACTTGTTATCTTATGTCTACCGTTATAAATCATGGAGTATTTTTTTAATAAATTATTTCACCTCGAAAAATGTGAACCTGTGATAGTCTACCGCTTATGTACAAATATACTCGTAACGTATTCAAATCATGAATATATTGTATACGTGACTCACAAAATATTAATTGAAAATTAAACCTTATATATCATTTGCGGTTATGTCGAGTGTAAAAATTCTATAACTCAAACAATAGCACGCCTCATTTCTATATATTGCCCGGTAAACTAGTTAGTTTTAAAAAAAATCTTTTGGACTATTTCATATTCACTTGTGAATTGAAAAAGACAGCGTCTAATTGTAAACGAAACGAATCAATATTCATGTATAATTCGCACAGTGGGATTGATGCTTACACGGTTGAACGGACAAGAAATAAAATGTAAAAAACAGAACGCACAAGGGGTCTGTTCCCGTATCCCGTTTTTTTATTCCAAGTTCAAAGGCTCCTCGTCTACAACGAATACACGCACACACGTTCATTTGCCATGGAATAATAATAATCCTGTTTTGCGACTGTATTAAACGTGGGGGTGCATACCATTTCGAATTTGGACATTCGTAAAAATCCACCACCACAGTATTATTACTGTTATTTACTCTACCACTGTATTATACAGTTTGCTGCTTGTAGTACAAATCCTGTTACAGAAACACAGAAAGTGCAAAAGGACACAGGCCACATGCCACCGGCGCTGCCTTTACATATTATATCAGCTACCATCATATGTCCACGTTAACACATCATCTGTTAGCATAAGTGATTCACGATGCCGCTAGCAAGCCATCGCATTAATGTTTTGCCCAAATATTCAATTCTTTTAGAGTATTTAAATGGGATATGTGAATTATAATAACGAGAGTGTATAGGTTATTTTTCATGATGATAAATGATAAACGGTCGGAATAGATAGACTCGACTGTTACTCACAACCTGTTTGACGCTACATTTTTATAAGACTTAATATTGTGAAGTAAACATGTACAAACTATATTCTAGAAATTATATATGTTGTACTCTTTACATCTTTTAGATTGTAGCTTGAATTCTAGGGTAAGCAGTTCCGCTAAAAATACGATTTCTTAAAAAATTCACAGAACTTTTTGAAAGTTTCGAAAAAAAATCAAAACATCTCGGGGGTTTGCCGGGGACGTTTGCAAAGTCATTAGACAAGAAAAGTTAAGGATATTCGTTGCTGGGGCGCTCGTCACCGCCGGTAGCCGCAGCAGGTTACAACTGAAGTTTGGAGTGATTGGATGAAAGGCGGTACGAACAAGTGCGACAATCAAGAGGTCGGCCCCTCCTATACCGCTCATCGTCCCTAGACCTACGTCCCATCTCTTCGTACTTGTGCATGTTACTTTCTCGCATGTACATAATACATGTATAACTAACCCTTAGGGAATTCTCAACCCTTGTCTCCTTCTCACTACAGTTTTTATCGCGAATGCTGCTTGTCATTAAGCGATTATCACCATGTTCTCATCTTTCATTCTAATTTTTTTCCTTTGATACGCATAAATGATTCATATATATATATATGTATATTATTATACAATCTACAATGCTCCCCGCAGTTTAAAGTTGTTCGCCTGTAAGCTGTAAGAGTTTTTAAGAAAAAGAAGTAACAAAGTGAAAAATATGGATTACTGAAATAAAGCTTCTTAACCCACTTGGATTTGTTACTCATAACGTTTTTATTTTCGCTCACCCTATTTACTAGACATTAAGTCATTATTATCAATTGTCAATGAAAGTGAGAACACACGAGTATTTGCACTCGACATTTTTAAATATCACTAACGTTTAAATGAATCACTACAAAAAAATCTACACCCTATGATATGTACTTATTAAATAAAAACCTCATAACTAGTGTAAATTATTCAAGTTATCTTCTATAGTTAAAAATTAAACAAATATTTTTAATAATCTCTACCCATATTTTGAGAGAACTGAAAAGTTAACTACTGATTGTAAAATTTTTAAATTTTAAAGGTTTTTTTTAAAGATATAAACACGTGACAGACTAACAGAGGCAATGTATGAAAATAATAACGAGGTGATATTTGTCTCTCGCTGACTTTTCTGTATTTACGTTTTGTATTCTTTTTAATAAATAAATAATAGATAGTTAAGAGAGTAAAACAACCCGAAATTTTTTTAATGGTCATTTAAGTAGACAAGAAGAGACAAATTCAAAAAATGATTTTTGAATACTTCATAAATAGTGTTAAAATAATATTAATATTAATATGTTTAGTACTTGGAAAAATGTCCACAAATAAAAGTGTGTAATATCCAATGTAATTAGTATTAAACTCACTTTGAAATTTTAAAATATTCAAACTATTATTACTACTATTTTTCAGACATCTTGTATTCTTTATTTCCTTTCTCTTCTCGACGAAAATTATACTTATAAATAAATATTAAAGATGCAACAACATAAAATTCGCCGTTAACAGTTACAACAAAACGTGTTTAACAAAAAGTTCAAAGAGCATTTTAATTTAAATATATTCAAACAAGCAATTTCTATCAAGGGTGGCTATCCCTCATCGTTTCCAGTTAGTTAAAGGAAATACATTCATTTCATTTTGAGTGCAACTTAACGCCGTTGACGCCTTTTGGTTCAAAACTAGCTATATATATATATATATATATATATATATTATTAAATTCATATTTGGCGATTTAATCACACCAATTTACCTACATCAAAATGGCCAACTGATTTGATACCTTTCTATTATATCTTTGTAAATTTTTATTAGTGTTTATTCTGTCTATTTTGTGATTCAGATGAGTTTCGATAATCCGGCAGTATATTGGATCACAGTGGTGTCATAGAATATACAGAATGAACACTGACAATTTTCCATATTTGTAAACAAACATTTTCTTGGGTAAGCTATTATACTAATACTTTGAAAACTATATCATTTTAATCAGAGTATTACAATATAAATTATAATTAGTTAGTATTATCTTATTATTTTAAATTGCTCACAAACATTTTATAAAAAAAAATTTCTTAGGATATCTTTAAGTCAAAATTATTATTTTCATAATGAACTTAGTATTTTATTCCCTAATAAGTATATAGTATTACTATGAAATGTACTAAAGAAATTTTATTTGTTGGATATCTAAATTTACAGTACACCCCTGACAAAGCATTTTGATAAAAAAATAAAAAGAATTTGCAGAGAAATGTAGATGTTACCATTTTTACACATGTAGATTTTAACTATTCGTCACTCAATGAAAAATTATAGAAAATAGGTTTTTTACATATATATATTATTTATATCACTTGTTTCTGAAGTAACTGTATCTTATTTATTGTTAAGCATTTCATACCCTTAATAATAATTATATATAAGCTAACAATCGAATCATTTTGAAAATTAAGTAAATTATAACTAATTTATTTAACTTGTAATTTATGTAATTTAATCAAAGTAAATGTTAAAAAAAATCTATTTACAATTTGTTTCTATTATAACGTTGAATACAAATATTAGGTTTTCATTTAACTTCAAATGTTATTCTTATACTTGTTTAGTTATTTCATAAAAGGGGGAAAAAAATTTTGAATAATAAACGGTTAAAAATTATATAGTGGGTAGAACCATACTATAGTAAAACTAACCATATCAGTTCGGCTTTACTCACACCATCATTCATTAAATGTTGACCGTTGATTTAGAGATGAGAATAAACTGCGCAAAAATGGTTCCAAAAATTCTGTCACAAATCAAAAAGGATAATAGAGGGGAAATGTGTCTACATTTTTTAAAGCAGATTGAAAGTGACCACTCTTTCAATTAACCAGTTTTTGGTAATTTAAAATATTCTAGTGGCCTCTAATCCGCTTGAGCCTTTGTGATTTTTTTCTCTTTCCAAGAATAAAAATTTACCTTAAATGACGATATTTTAGGACACAAGGAAATATTAAAATGTCTGGAACTGACCAACTGAAATTTATTCCAGTAACTGAGTTCCAGAACTGTTACGAACAATAGAAACATCGACTCCAGTGTTGTGTAAATTCCCAAAGCAATTATTTTGAAGGAGATTATATACAATATTCGTTTTATTTCAATAAACAATTATAAAAAATCAATCTCATTACTTTATTAACACACCTCGTATTTGTGGACAATAGCCGAGTTGTTCTTTTCAGCATGTTCGTAGCCAACAATTAAGCAGTTACAAATGTTATCACCTAAAATTGAAAAATAATTGTTTATATTATTTAAGTTTTTATAATGAAAACAAAATAAAAATATACATGTGCTGATATGTATAGTAAAACAATTGTGAACTGAGTTCCGTCAACTTGGTTAACTGCTTGATTTGTTCCATAGATTTTTTAACTAAACAAGCGCCCCTCAAAATTTTTTAAACTCTTCTAGAAAAAATTTTATTTATTAAAACAGCCTAGAATACTATGATATAATATTTGGCACGTATTTGTCTTTTATGCAAATTTCGTGACTAAGCTTTAAATTGTTTTCTTGTTGAAATAATCAAAAAATTTTAAAGAATGGTTGATAATTTAATATACATGGTTAATATTTAATGTACATGGTTTTTATATCTAAGTTTTTATGTAAAAATCGAGAATTATTTAACTGTAAATAATTCTGATGACTTAACCATCGAAAGCACCAGTTCAAGCAATAATAGCGTAGCTTCCAGTCCTTATCAATCGCCAAAACAAATAGCTGCGCCACCACCAAAGAAAAATGAGATTAAATTTACCATCATTAGCCCTCGCCTGCGATCGTACTGGAGTCTCTGACAGAGCAGCTGCTATTATAACTTCTTCTGTGAAAGATGTTGGAATCATTACATCAAAGGATCTAAGTGTTGTCATTGATCGTTCAAATTGCGCCGTGAAAAAACGAAAATCAAATCAGCATTACACGATGCAAATCGCAATAAAATTATACGCGGTATTTATTTTGATGGCAGAAAAGATAAGACTTTGGTAAGTATTCAGAAGGAAAGCAAATTTTATAGAAAAAGAGTAATAGAAGACCATTATGTGATTTTTGATCATTATGTGAAAAGAAATCGAGTACTGTTACCAGTAAATAATGTAATAAGTGTTTACTTCTGTACTTTCAATAATATGGACTGACATTTGATACCATAAGAAAATTGTATAAAACATCAAAATTTAACAAATTTCAAAACGCTGTATAAACGTAACTACTGAATTAAAATAAGAGTTTTTGGTACCAAATTTTTCTTTAAAACTTATCTATAAAATGGCTATCTTAAAATCTTAAAAAAAATTAATTTTTAAAATACTTTTTGTAATTGCGAAAAACATATTTTAATTATAGTTCTATATTGTAAAAATTGATTAAAAAAAAAAAAGTATAAAATGTTATGTAGATCATAAGTTATATGAATTGTCAGTTAGATCCGTTCCATTCTGTATATATAAATTTAAAAAAGCATATGATGCAAAATTTACAACTTTTCAGCTTCGCACCAAAATAAAATAAATTTTGATATTAGAACTATGTTTATTTTAGCATAATACGCTTCATTAGCAATGATATCTTAAGAGCCATTAAAAATTTTCACACTACAAACCAATAATGATCTTTAGCTAATTAAGAATCTAAATTAATAAATTTGAAATTCACAATCTAGCGTGATAAAGTGAACTATGAAAAGAAATTATTTTTTAATTCTGTCTCTACCAATAGATAAACAAAATATTAATATTGCGTCTAATTTACTAAGAAATTTTTATATTTTTTAAGCATATTTTAATAAATATCAATATACTAATAAAAACTACTTGTAATAGTGCTAATAGGAGAAAATAGGGAGGAAATTAATCAATGACTAGAGGTGTGGAGATCAGTTCTTGAAGGAAAGGGTTCAAGAATAAGTAGAAGTAAGACAGAATATATAGAGTACACGTTTAACAAAGGAGAACACGAGGTAGGTGAAAAGAGAAGGTCAGTGACAATTGGCGAGGACGTGATTGGAGAGGTGGAGAGTTTTAAATATTTAGGATCAGTTGTGCAAAAGAGCGGTGGTATTGATGAGGATATAAGACACAGGATTAAGTACGGATGGTTGAAGTGGAGAGAAACGTCTGGTGTCTTATACGATAAAAGAATTCCAATGAGGCTGAAAGATAAATTCTACAAGACTGTAGTGAGACCAGCTATGATGTATGGTTCAGAGTGTTGGGTGGTTGATAAGAAAGTAGAGCACAGAATGAATGTACCAGAGATGAGAANGAATGAGTGTACCAGAGATGAGAATGCTTAGATAGATGAGTGGAGTGACTAGAAAAGATAGAATAAAGAATGAGCATATAAGAGAGAGTATATGTATAACGTCAATCGTGGATAAGATGAGAGAAAATAGACTTAGATGGTTTGGTCATGTTATGAGGAGAGAAAAATCGGAAGCTGTAAAAACATTTATAGAAATAAATGTTGAAGGAAGAAGAGGTAGACGAAGACCAAAAAAGAGATGGAGAAATGCTATTGAATGCAATATGAGGGCAGCTGATGTGAGCGCAGATAATGTGGAAGATCGTGTCAAGTTTAGGATAAGGGTGACCGACCCCAAGTAGATGGGATTAGGGCGAGGAAGAAGAGAATCATTAATTTTTAAATGAATAAACTAAAAAACTTCAAAATTTTAACTAACATAGTAGCAATTTTATGTCTACTATTAAATTTTGAAATTTTGTTTTAAAAATCTTTATGTATGAAAGTTAAAATTAACGACTGAAAATTGTCCCATCATTTTATCTTAAACAATTATTAATTTCATCTAAAAATTAGCGCTTTGTAATTTTAAGGGTTGAAATTTTGATTCCTTTGTCAAATAATTTATCTTGTATAATATTTACAGTAGAGATTTCAGAATAGGCCACCAATTTTTTTTTTATAATAATATGTTTATGTGTTTCATAAATCTTTCATAATTAAAATAAATTGTTTGACGACAGTAAGTTAAATACTATAATGCAATAAATGATTTTGATAAACGTAAATACGTTAAGGCCAATGTTTAAAACCCTAGTAATAATTAATTAATGATTATGATGTTTAATAGATCTAATATTACTTCATACTAGTAGTAGTATAAAATACATAATTAAGTAGTATACTACTATACTACTTTATTAAATATATTTTAAAATAAAATTATGTAATGCAAAAAATCTAAGAAGAATATAATAATTAAACAATTCAAATTTAAGAAATACGAAGTATTGTTTGGGAAAAGATAAATATGTGATAACGATTTGTTATCTACTATAACTATAAATCACTCACAATAAATTCTAAATTTAATCGTGACAGTTTTTCGATTGTCATGTACCCTTAGATGGATATAAAATAACGACAGAACGAAAAAATAAATAAATGATTTGAGCTATTTAACTATTACTCTTTACAGTACATGTCAATAGAATATAACATTATGATAATAAATGATACTAAGTGAGCAATGCAAATAATCAGACGTGTTCTTATAAAAAAATTGTATTAAATAATTGTTCGTTTTTAGATCTCTCAATTATCATAAAAAAAGCAAATAAACAATAATAGTATCCTTTTATGGAAAATATGATAGAAAATACTGTTAAATAGTTCAAAATAAGTTCATGTGAACTCTACAAGTAAAGAACCATGATTAACCCGATAATTCTTGATGGTAAAATAGTTTTACAAGAAAAGTAAGCTAAATACCTAGACATGCATTTAGGATCTAAACTATATTGGAATACTCATATAAAGATAAAAACGAAGTAAATAAAACAAAAAAAAAATAGAGAAAAACAAGAGCAAGATGTAGACGTAACGTTTGGATATCTATACCTTTAAAACAATTTTTTTTCGGGGTACAACAATTAAGTTATAATAGTGGTAAAATAATAAACATTTTATTTAATTACTACAATTTATTATGTTTAAAATTAAAAAAATGTAAAGAACGTCATTTGTCCCATTTTACATGAGTTAAAATGGGAACGACATAATATAATTATACATGAAACAACTAAATAATCCAAAATTTTTAATCAAATAAATGTATTTCAGCTATCAAAATTCACACGAGAGCAATATATTTATTCAGGACTTGAGGATTTCACTTGTAAACAAAAAATTCATCATTCCAGACAAAAATTAATTAATTTTTGTAGAAAAATAAACAAAAATATGTTTTATTAAATAAGCAAACCCGAATTAAGCAAAGCTATTGTCCAGGCCCCATCTATGAGCCCGATTAGTAAAATAACTTGAAAAATTCAAATTTATATTGTTGTTACTATTAATTTTTTTTTGTTACCTGCAGTTTTTATGTATTATAATAAAAACATCGTTTACAATTTTTATAGAAAAACTTATTGAGAAGCCCATTAAAAAATTTGGCACCGGCACTCCAAATTAACATAATCCGGGTTTGTAAATAAGAGTATAAACAACTGTAAAATATAGTAAAGGGTACAATGGGGACGTCCCCATTACGTCTCAAACTAAAATATAAACGGGTGTACTTACTTTCAGTCGTTGTGATATTAATTACAATTAAATTTTAATTAATAAATTGTATATTAAGTTATAGTTTGTCTATGCTTAAGTGATCTTGAGGTAGTTAACAAAAAAAATCGTATTTTAAAAATTGGTTTAAATTTTAACTATTTTTATCGATCAACTGATAAAAACCCCTTTTGCTCTTTATTAAATGATAAGTTGATTAACATTTGATTACATAACATTGATCATACAATATAATACGAACAAGGTTGTTTTTATAATCGCAGGATCAATTAAAGTTATAGATATTGACATTTCCGTTTCGCCCCACTTACCTCTAATATATAATGATTCATTGGTCGTAGATCACAACCAACATATAGAAAAGAAAAAAACTTACTTAAAGTAGTTATAATTATGTTATATATCAAAACATATGTTTTTGTTGTCACATTAAATTTGAGATTAATTTTTGAATTATCCATTTTGGGGTGGATATGATTTCTCTTTATTTTAATTTTAGTTTCGTATTCCTTTCTAGAAATTAAAAAATAAAATAAGCTTGCGCTAAAAGGTACAAAAAGTTTTACATATTTTTAAACTACATATATTTTTTTACTTTTAATTTTGTTAATATTTTTTTCGTTAAGTAAATATTTTTTTTCCTCAACTCCATATTAGATGTATACATAAAAAAATCACCTTTAATTGACAAATCAACTTAAACTCTAACAATGCACTAGAATGTAACTAATATATTAGTTACATCATTATCTTAATCGTTTTGGACACTGTTGGATATTATAATAACCAACAGTATCCAAAGCGACTAAATTCCTAAATAACATTTAATTGTTAGTAGTTCTCAATTAGATATCAAAATCAGTCAAGATCCATTAAAATGGTCTTGGGAACTATTATAGATTTTATCAATACATAAAAAATGTCATACAGTTACATAATTTTGTCAACATATATTAGCAATCAGTACACTGTGGCACATTTAAAAAATAGAAAATATTTGGCAAATAACAGACCATTAGATTCTATTTGTGTGACTTAACATCACGTTATATCTATTTGTGTAATAAACAGCTGCATCACTCTTGGCGCGCGTACGATGGTCAAGCAGACCGTCGAATGAATATTCGAAGTAAAAAAGACCATTGCACCTTTTACACACATATATAATGTGTTTATGTACGTGAATAGTACATACCTATAATATACTTTGTATAGCGTATGTGTCGCATTCCTTAACTATCCATACGGTCATGGTCGAAACATCAATCATATGGGTACCTTATACACCTTACTCAGATTCTTTGCTTGCCGTACACTATGCAACTCAGTCAACGTGTAGAGTACATAAGGTACACCGGCGGCTCGCATTTGTCATCGCTGCCACGGTTTTAAGGTGTTTAGACCACGAGTCACGTCAATCAAATATGCGAGAACAAAATATGATGTTTTTTATTTTTATCGTCATTGTCGATTTCCCCTTCGACTCTTAACCCGATCACAATATAATGTACAATAATACTGTACTAGTATATAAATAATAACAAATTCTTTTGAACATCATTATAATTTAAATATTTCGTTAGCACACAAATGAAAACAATCATTGAAGTTCTCAAGGAAAGGTATAGAGGATAAAAATATAAATGGAAAAACCCAGGTATTTTATTGTTTTATAAAAAAAAACAACCATTAGGGTAGTATCAACTTCTCTGTTTTTTTTTTTAGAAAAACCCGGCTTCAATAATAATTATATTTTTGGCATATTATATTTTAAGAAAACTTGGAAAAAAATCACTCGGGTTTTTTGAAAATATTGTCTGGATGTATCCCATAAAAGCCTACTGTGTTTTGAGAGGTATTTTTTTTGATAACATTCGATAAAAGCCTCTACATTATATATATATAGTTAAGATTTATTTTGGGGAGAGTATTAAAAAAATGTCTTAATCAAAGTCAAGATAATCATGAGAACAACACTGAAAATATTATCTTTTATGTTAGACTAAATTATTATCATTTTTAAAGTCATTGAAAATTTACAATCTATGCAATAGGTATTCGAGTTATTTAAAAGATGTGCCAAAGGGTAGGGATTAGATTTTTTTTAATATATAGTGTTGAAATCATTAGAATAACAAAAATTATACCAAAAATATTTTAAGGATATAAAAGTAACTTGTATATCAACATTTATAAGAAACCGTTAACTTAATTTCTCTAAGTGAATATTTGAGTAACTAAATAATTACTGGAAAATAGAAATTTTCTTGGTTGCAATACAAAATATAAAAAAATGTTCACTATAATATTACATTCAAGAGCAATTAAATGGGTTACATCCTTTTATTGGCCTTACTAAACTTATATTTTGGGTAAAAAATTGACTTAAAAAGTTTATTGTTGTTCTATTTGGTATAAGTCTTCTACCAAATGAAAATTTTTGACTACGTAACTAATTATATTAATTTATAAAATTCTAAATTAATTAATAAATTTTTAAGTTAATATGTCTCAATTATATTTGTTAGTTGATTATATGAATTAAAGAATAATTATAAATACAATTCATAGCTTTATAAGATTAATATAAATAACTTGCTCAAAATATAACAAAATGTTTTTTTATAAATTTTAAGTTTATAATTAAACACAATAACACTTTACAAAATCAGTAAATATTAAATCAAAAGTAAACAATTGAATAATAAAATAATTATATCTATCATAAATTAAACAAAATAAGTAATAAAAAAATAAATGATTACTACATTTAAAATTATTAAGTATAAATACTTAAATTAACTTAAAATTATAAGATCTTTAATTTAATAAATAATATTTGAGCTTACAAAAGTATAAAATTTTGATCATAATTATTTGTTTGAAGCTCAATGTTTTTATTGAAAATTTCCTATAAAATAGTAAAAATTGACCAGTAAAATTATTAATCTAAAGCAAGGCTGTCCCAAAACTACAAATATAGGGGGAGGAATATTTTTTTGCCAATTGAATAATTTTTTAATATTGTGTGACCTCTTTGAATAATTGTTTTTTAGTAACATCCTTTTACATTTAAATTCAGTTAACTAAAAAAACTAAATATTGTTAAATAGGAATTTGAACACCCCCGTGTAACACTCAAAACAACCCTGATCTTAAGCAAACATTATTCATTTTAGGTACAATTTTAAAAAATATTAGGAAGATCTAATTTAATTTGTCTTTTAAAAAATGTCTGTATTAAAATACTGTTTACCTTTGAACACTTCAATATTATTTAATCATTTATTTAATTCATTGACTATATAGCTCTGCTGCTTTATTTAATATGACTCTTGTTTCAACATTAGGATAATTCTAAAAATAAAATAAATGATAATATTAAATTTCCAAGTCAAAAGTACAAAAAATTATATATTTTAATAACCTGTAATAGTTTAACTATTGTAGGAAAATCTCCAGCAAGTATTTCATCTCTAATCAGACTAAGAAAGAATGTAAAATTATGCTTTACATTGTTTAAATTTATATAAAATATGTTTTATACATACATAATCATAGCACAACAGATGTAAACTAGGAATGAAAAACGTTGAACATCAGAAAACAAGGAGTCCCATATTCTTAAGATTTCAGGCAATGAAAATTCTTGAGATAATAACAATGTTAACCATCTATAATTTAATAAAATTGTAAAAATTAGTTGATATTAAGATGAAAAAATTAAATAATATTTAATTCTATTCATGGGATAGTTCATTTCATAAAGAAATATATATATATAAATTATTCATTTTATATAAAAAATGAATATGTTATTATTAATATATAGCAGTAATACATTTTTATATACAGATTGTTCGGTTAGTAAGGAAACAGGTTAATTGTTATAAATAATGAGAACAATATAAACCCGTTTCCTTATTACTTACTGAACATTCTATATAGAGTGTTCAGTAAGTTAGGAAACAGTTAAATTGTTACAAACAATGAGTACAATAGAAATTCGTTTCCTTATTTACTGAACACTCTGTATAATAAAATTATTTATTGTTTAATAATAGCACAATCATTTATATTGTTATCAAACAATATAAAACTGTTCACTATAATTTATTTTCTATAAATAGAACTATTGATCTACTAAAAATTTTGCAGGTATTTTAAATTTTTATCACAAAAATATGGTTTATATAAGTTACTTATATCAAACTTATATTTTAAAGAGTAATAGGGAGTGAAATACCTTCTAACACAACTTCTAAAATCTAAAAATAAAAATTCTAAGAAAGTCCAAAATGTGAGGAAAAACTTGTTTATTATAAAAATAAATTGAACAATAAGTTGGCTAATGTTAATAAAACACTATTATAACATATGTTAATTTAGGTTTATTAATGAAGTGAAAACATTTTAGATGCCATTAAGACATCTTCACATAAAGAGTGAAATTTGTCTAGTTTAATGCTCCCAATGATCACTTCTATTTCTTAACTTTCACTAAATTGATTTTTTTTTAATAATGTGTCAAAAATTCACAAATTATATCTGATTGAAGATATTACTCCTAAAAAATTTTTATTCATTGTAGATAAGAGAAATCCCTTGATATATTATGATTTTTAATTAAAACTTGACTTATATACTAATAACTGTCATAACTTCTTAAAAAAATATATGAATCTTCTTTTTACTTGCCATAATACCAACTACTTGGGGTCGGGCAAAAATATATGAATCATAACAAAAAATAAATATTTTTATAAGTATCTTCAGCATTTATACATTTTTTTACCTTCTCCATTTTCAATATATCCCTCTTTATGGAGGTTCAAAGGAGGTCTTTTATCAATTAGAAAAGATATTTTTATCTGAATACATTAACAACTACACTTAATTTTGAAAATTTTTTCTCACCTAAAACTGTAATATTGAGGAAGAATTTCATTTTTTATCAAACAGCTATGAAGATCTGGGTCATTTTCTTTCAATTTTTCTGTTACTTTATGCATCATACTTACTATACCAGAATCTGCCTCATCTAAGGATTTTATAAAAAAATCTCGTATTTCTGACATCAAATTTGTAAAAACAAAGAAACAATCAGCCTCTGCATGTTCTAAATCAGATATATTAAAAAAAATAATTATTTCTTATAATAAAATAGAACTACTTTTCATCTCAATAACTGGATCAGTAGCAAAACAATAGTAGATAGGACCAATTATTTCATTCATTCCTTGAACATAACCTTGTCCAGGATTTAATTTACAATATACAAACAATATTCTTTCAACTACTTCCCAATGAGCTTCTGAGCCTTCTTCTAATGGCTTGAACTCCGAAGTATTTTTAGGTTCTGGAGCAGCCGAAATTTTAACAATCCCAAGTCCTTTACGTTCCACGTTGGCACTATTCAAAAAATGCATACCCACTCTACGGTTCAGTCGTTTAGTACCATTGCTGTTCACTACATTAATATGAGGATATTCAGTTGCTTGTTGAAAAAATGACAGCTCTGGATGTAATCTCCTATAAAATAATTTATTTGTTTGAATTCTGTAATAATAACTTTCATAGTTGATAAGTGATCAATTAAGATCAAGATACTCATTATTTCAGAAACTAATAAATATTTGCAATTTTTGTATAGTATATTTGTTTGATTCAAAAAACTTTACAAAAATATGTAGTTAAACAGTTTTTTTTCCTTCAAATATAAAATGTTGGAACTTTTTTTTTTTTAATGGGTACTTCTTTTTAGTTTAATAATGTAACAGAAAAAAATTTATTCTTATATTTTTTATTCTATTATATCGATCCAAACTCAACCATTTGCGTTTTAAAATTCTTTAATGATTTGGATTTAAACTAGAGGTCGCGATTGTGAACGGATATTAGAATACACGGACACACGGAGCCCGGGTACACGGGCAAAACATATTAAAGCCCATGTATTTAATACCCATGCATACATTGTATATTAATTCAGAATTAAAATATACTTTAAATATAAATATTTTTTTGCTAACTTTTCCTAACTCTTTAGAAGATTAAATAGCACAACAAGTTAATTATCTTAATAATCATATAAGTTATATTTATAGTTATTAATTAAGCTTAAAAATTAGTAAGATGCATTCGTTGTTTATCGTATAATATTATATAGATATAAACACTATAAACTATAAGTATAATAATGCATAAGACAGTTATATTTAAACTGGTTTTAATATTCAAACATAAATATTCGCAAAACTACCTTATTACTAATTTTATTGCACTTCATTTACGCATAGATCTTATAACACATGGATAGGACATTGATGCTTTATCAGTGAAGACTATGGTGATAGTAAATTGAGGCTATTTATTTACATTATTACATGATAACAATTTATTTTTATTTTTTAATGGTTAGTAATTATTAATTAGTATAAGTTATGTAATGCATAATATTGTAAAACTTAAAACAATTATTCTTTTAAAACTTATAAAATATATAGTAAAACAGTAACGAACATAAATTAATTGTGATTAAAATGAATAGTTTTTGTTAGTTATTTATATTAAAGTATATTACAGAAGCTTTAATTTAATATATATATGAAAGTGTCAGTATTTCAGGAACACTTTCAAAAATTAAGTTGAAAAAGTTCTACTTTCTATATGCATTTTTAAGTTTTGAATCCCCCTGTATTAAGGGAAATGGTACGATTTAAAAAAAAAGTAAGTCGAATGAAAGAGGTATATAAATATTATTTATCATGGAAAAATCGTATTGATCCATACTTTTTAAAAAAGTTATACAAATATAAAGTTAAAAATGTAAAATATAAAATCGAGAATTTTAACACAAAAATAGCATACGGTAGCCATTTTCATCTTGAAAACAAAATAAAATACAAAATTTTTTTTCCATAATAAAGTATATTACATTAGCTTTAATTAAAAATATATATAAAAGTGTCAGTATTTCCGGTACACTTTCAAAAGTTAATTTTTGTGAAATAGTTGTCATTTTGAATCCCCCCTTGTGAGCAGGTAAAGGATGAGATTTACAAAAAAAATTACCTCTCGTATCTAAATAAAAAAAGATTATATTGATTTGGTAATTTTTAAAAAAATTATGGCGGTTTTAAGTAAAAAAAATTAAAAAAGTGTCGAAAAATATCTATTTTTAAATTTGTAATTTTTTTGGAGATTTCCCCTATTTATGGGAACAAGGAAAATTTTTTCATTTATTGAGGGTAATGTCTTCGAATATAGATACAATAGATATAATAATAGATACAATTTGTGAAGTTTTAACGTATCGTTGAAAAAAATCAGTTCGGTGAGAGCTGAGAAAGAGTGGTAACAGACTAGAGGTCGCGTTTACACGTGTAATGAACTACACCCGTGACCTTAAATAGTCATGTATTTAATATAATATTTATATATACAATGAATGCATGGGTATTAAATACACGGGTCTACGCGGGTATTATACACGGATATTAAATACACGGGCTTTAATATATGTTTTGCCCGTGTACCCAGTCTCCGTGTATTCTAATACCCGTTCACAATCGCGACCCCTATAACAGACACAAAGAAAAAACACATAGTAAAATTAATACCTTCCAACTTCGCATCGAAGCTAAAACAGTATATTATGCGCTTATCATAATTAAAATGTAAACAAACGGACTCAATTTCTTATCAGTTCAGGACCGCGAAAATACAAGGGTCTCAAATACGAATGTCCTATTCATGTTTATAAGATCTATGCATTTACGTACTTACTATCTATGTATGCTTTTTATCTAAATATTTTTGGTGATTTTAAAATTGTTCCATAGTCCATACTGGACCTTATTATTCATGGGTTCACTATTACTATGTGTCACGTGAAGTTTAGATCTTGACATTTGTATTGTACATTAAATATTTTTTCTTTGAAAAATGAGTTATCGATCTAAAAGTTGGGTATGGCAATACGGCAAACGCAAAGGTGATAAAGCTTTTTGTGATCTGTGTGATGATAATTCAAACAAAGTGTTTAGTTGTGCTGGTGGATCAACGGGATCATTCGGCAGACATTTAAAATTCATACACAATATAAGCAAAAACACTCAAAATCAAAGGTATGTATAAATGTAATTCATTTGTAATAATTCAAATGAAAAATGGACGGGATTGCAAATTTGAAAAGCTTTAATTACATAATGATAAAATAAAATAAATTAATTCATTTAAAATTTATTTCCTAGTGATGGTAATCTTCATGAAGTTGAAGAGTGTAATATAGTTGTTGGTTTAACACAGTGTCCATCATCATCATCAACTAGTTTATTAAATACCGATTGTTCAACCTCATCATTAGAATTTTGTGAACTACAACCCCGTAAACGACGAAAAACTTATAGTGATAAGAACTTTGAAAAAAACCGAATTTGTAGTTCAGAAAGAACAGAAAAAATTCATCAAGCATTAGCTAAAATGATCGCCATCAATCAAATGCCCTTATCCTTTTGTTCTAGTTCCGGGCTTAAACAATTTATGAGCATAGTCGAACCAAATTGTATTATCTGTAAGGAAGGTGCTATTAAACAGAGACTCAAAGGATTCAAATTGTCGGTTGAAGATTTAATAAAAAAAGAACTAAAAGATGCCAAAAGTGTAAGCTGTACATGTGACTGTTGGTCATCAATAGCTCAAGAATCGTACATAAAAGTTACTGCACATTTTATCAATGATTAATGGTGCCCAAAATCATACACCCTGACAACTCACAAACTAGATGATCGTTATACAGTTTCAAATTTATCCGATCAATTAAAAATGACTTTTAATAATTGGGAAATTGACCAAAAAGTTACAGCAGTAGTTACCGACAATGCAAAAAATGTGTTGAATGCAGTTAATTTACTGGATAACATTACAGAAAAGAATGATATAACATGTGCTGCACATACATTACAACTTGCTGTCAATAATGCCCTAAAATATGATAAAATAAATAATTTAATTCAATTATGTAGTAAAATCGTTTGTCATTTTAAGCATTCAAATTTAGCTAGTCAATATTTAAAAGATAAGCAAGAACAATTAGGTATGCCAACAGAAAGTTTAATTCAAAGTTGTAAAACCAGATTGAATTCAATATTTATGATGCTTGATCGAATTTATAAAAATAGGTGCCCAATTTCAAATGTTCTTGCTGATCGTTCGTTAACTACAGAGGAGATGGCACACAAATTTGAAGTATCAGAGCACCAATGGACAAATGTAGAAACACTAATAAAATTGCTTAAGCCTCTACAAATTATGACCACTGTGTTTTGTGGGGATAAATATTGTTCTAGTTCAATGGTGAGGCCGCTTCTAAACGCAGTTATAAAAAAGCATTTAAAGCATAATATAAGTGATGACGAAATAGCTGAAAATTTTAAAACCAATGTAATAAGAGAACTTTCAGACCATTTTAAATTACTGTGGACTCCTTCTAGTGTGGTATCTGCTAGACAAATAGCGTCTTTCCTCGACCCAAGGTTCAAGGACTTAAAGCATGAAACAGTTGATGCAAGAGAGGAAATTCGAACACAGGTTAAAAATTTGATAAAAGAAATGGCTGAATTTAATAGGGATGTGCAAATTGAAATACCTGTAACTAAACATCACGGTGCTCTTGAATATCTGTTCAGTGATGAAGTAAACTGTAATATAGCTGATTCTGACATTCAGTATCAAAATTATTTAGCAGAACCACAGTTAAAATTTGATTTTGATGCACTAGAATGGTGGAAGACACGTACATCAAAATATCCACTAATTGTTGCTCTGGCAATGAAATATTTAGGGATACCAGCAACGTCAGTTAGTTCTGAAAGATGTTTCTCAACCGCTGGAAACATAGTGACGGCCAAGAAAAGTTTTTTGGCGCCTGAGACTGTAAACATGCTGATTTTTCTTTACCAAAACAAACAATTGTTATAAATTCCTAGATTGTGAGTGATTACTTTATTATTTATTTGCTAATTTTTTGTAATATATGCATCTACTGCTTGTACATTAATTTGATATTATTATTGTTATTTTTTTAATTAATTGATTAATTTATAAATATATAAGTACATGTTTATTATTATTTTGTTATTTAATTATTATGCATGAAAGCGATTACGAAATATACTAAGAGGTAGTGAACACTATACATTATGATATGTGTACTGTCATATTGAGTTCAGAAAGTGAATCAATCTTAAATCAACATTGCAAAATAGTGAAATACAATTTTACTTAAATACATGAGTATTTAAGGTCATGGGTATTTAAATACCCGGGTATACACAGATATTTTTACTACACGGGCTTCAACCCCGTCATAGGTAAAAACACGGGTACCCGTGTAGTTCATTACACGTGTAATCGCGACCTCTAATTTAAACTAGAAATTCATCATTCATTCCGTTTTCATAATACCAGAAGCAACAATAATCTATTTTAATGGGCCATGAATTATTATCAGTTTTTATTCTTAATATTGTAAGTGACATACATAATTACAAGAATAATCAAACATAATCATAACTACTGTATACTAAACATCAAACTATCATTAGAAAATTGGTTAAAAATCGCTTAACTTTTTGAAACAATATCAGAAGAACAATAAATCAAATAAAAAATATTATAAGAACAAAATTAACAATATTTTGTCCATCATATCATTAAATTAAAAATAGAAGTTACCATTAAAGAAAATTAAGTTTAAAATTTTTAACCAGGAAGGTTTTAAAAAAAATTATTTAACTACATACTATTATAGATTTTTTTGCATAGAAAAATGTTTGCCTTTAAGAACATTTATAACTTTCAGGACTTTCCAAGAAAATGAGTATTGTATCCTTAATCAATCTCCCTGTATATTTTTTACCTAACATCTTTATCAATTTGAGTCAATGCTTGATTATCTTTAAAAAAAGTATTCCATTTACTAGTTGGTTCATTACTCAAAGGATGATCACTTTGTTCATCATCAATTGAACCTGGAGTAACTAGTATTTCATCTAAAAAATATAAATAAATCAAAAATTTAAATCTGAATTATAATTAAGTAATTTCATCTTTAGATATGTATATAAACTATACCCTATACATTTTAAATGTAAACCCAGCAATATAGATATCTTCTATGAAAAAAAAGAAGAAATTAATTAATATTATAAATTAAAAATTTAATATTAATTATGTTCCATTCTATATTTTATTAAGTTATTATTAAAAAAACTTTAAAAGAAAATTTGTCTGAATAGCTCAACTCATCTTGATCACAATATAATGTTGGTTATTTAAAGTTTTTTAATTTAAAAATAGGTTTAACTTTTTGTGTGTTATATCAAGCATATAATCATTAAATTGTATTGTACAAACCATTAATTGTAAAATTTATTTTGTAGTAATATAAAATACTTTATAGGTACAATAAAACTACTTGTTAAAAAAATGTCTTCTATTATTATACCTCGTGAAAAGTATATAAAAACTAATCTAATAATTCTTTTATTTATTTTAAATTACCAATCCATTGGTTATACAATGTTCGATAATGATTTAACTGTTCATCCCACTTCTTTTTGTTAGGTGTTAAATAGTTGAGTAATAATCTCCAACATAGAGATCTATACCCTTTTTCATCTGGAACTCCTAGAAATTTTGATAACATCTGATTAGAGTTTGAAATAATAATTTGTCAACCCTTTTAATTACCATTAAAACAAAATTCTCTAAGCTTATTTATATCGATCTCTTCAGAGTTTAATACTGCATCAAGATTGTTAAGTCTTAAATTTAAAAAATAATTATTAAAAAGTTTTATTTTAATAAAAGCAAAAAATATTAGTTACATAGAGAATATGAGAGAATGAATTAACTTTTTCATTAAATAGTTTATTAAAAAATACATATTGCCATACCTCAGGTCGTAAGCAGACATCGTGTTGTATAAAATAGTAAATTTATGTCAAACAATTCAAATTAGTTTAAATTTAAACTACCAATCATGCCTAACAATTTAAAAAATAGAATAATTGTAATTCAAATCATTTAACCACTATATTAATTATAGTAATACATTTAAATTATCCGTTTTTCAGCTAAATTTATTCAACAATGAACTTAAAAACTAATAACAATAAATTTAATTTTTATTTAATTGATATTAAAAAACAAGTTAAAATGTTATCAAAAACGTTTATCTTATCAGAAAATGAAATACATGTTTATTTTCAACATTTGTCAGCATTCGCTATCAGTAAATGCTGTATTTTAAATATACAAAACTGATACAAAATATTATGATTCTAACTCATTAAATGTGATTACTTAAATAATCAAAACTATTATGTCGTTAATGTCGAGTTTTGTATAATGCTCAGTTATCGAAAATATTAATTTGGTTTACGTTATTCAAAAGGCTAATAATAATATGTCATCCAATGCAATAAATTCAAGTTTATTAACATTACAGTGTGAAAAATGTCATTTTATTAAATTATAATAATCATTTAAAAATATTAATTTTGATTGTGTTATTAATATTTTTAGCTGGAAAATGTTATGACTTATTAAAAAAAGAAACTAATGTAGTGGGTAGATTTGGATTTGATGGTGACTTAGAAATACCAGATGATTTGTCTGTCAGTCGATTTCATGCTGTAATTTCTGTTACAAAAAAAGTAAAGAAACTGATTAGTTTAAAAATTTATTATTCATCAAATATTTATTGTATTTTAAGGTAGTAAATAATTTTGTGGAAATCAATATTGAAGTTATCGATAAAAATTCTAAGTTTGGAACATTCATAAATGAAGGTATTGATAATAATGTTAGTATTAAAAGTGGAATTCCTAAAGTTTTAAAATTACATGATAAAATTCGTTTTGGAAGAATTGACAGCATTTGGGTGTAAGTATTACTCAGAAAGAATAATGGTTTTAAATGAATTGATTAACAGTCCTATATTTTAAAAAAATCAAACACTTCCAGACAAATTATCATTTTTTAAATATATCAAAATACATTATACATTGATATAATAAATAGTTATTAGGGTAATTTTTAATTAATTTTTTAGATAAATAAATATGTTTTTATTTCAAACATTCATTTAATATAATAACACAATTAAGGACCAGAACTTTTCAATATAAAATAAAATCAGTTAAACATTCTAAGATCAAAAAAGAATATATAATTATCATATTTTACTATATTAAACATTTTTTATTATATAAATGTATAATGTATTTTGATATATTTTCATAGTGATCAAGTTGTCTGGAAGTGTTTAATTTTTTTTTAAATATAGGACTTATTAGAATGTAATTTTTGAAGGGTTAAAGAATTTCAAGTAATAGTTTGTCCTTCTACATTAACTAAACCAGATAAAGATAATTTAAAAAAATTAATGACAAAACTTGGTGGAATTATGGTAAGGGAATGGTCAGATGAATGTGTTCACCTTTGTATGAACTCTATTACAATAACTGAAAAGGTTTGTGTTATTTTTTATATTCAGTAAGAATAAAAAATGATTTTTTATACATTTTACTTAGGCCTTGCTTTGTTTAGCATCAGCAAAACCAATTGTGACTCTTCAATATTATTTTGATCTTTATAAAGCCTTATTGCCTAATTCTATGATTACTCTTCCATTTTGTGATGGTTACATACCTCCTTTAAAAGAAGCACTTCTAAATACAGAGTTTATTTCATTTAATGTCATAAATAAGCGAAAAAGACTTTTTGGTGGTCTTACATTTATATGTTCTACAAAAGAACAATTAGTTCGCATTGAAAAGATGGTAAAATATGCAGGTAAAAATTAACTATAATGTATTTATTTAATATTATTCATTAATAAACATGTAATTTTTAGGTGGTGAAGCCATACATTTTTTAGATTGTAACATAAGTATTGAAGAAATTTTAAATTCTTCATCATACATATTAATGCAGCAAGATCCCTTTAATATGAAAGATGTTGACAAGTACTCAACAATTATAAGTAAGTTCTTAAAACTTTTATAATAAATATTTATTATTTTTTTATCTTGATACATATAAAATTTAATTTGTTAATTATTATAAAATACTAAACCTGGGCAAGTTAACACTTCTTTTTTTTTTACTCCTTAGTTTTTTTTTTTAATAGTATGTCAAGTTAAAAGCTAACTATTGTATATTTTTTAACTTAGTCAAATTAAAAATAACTAGAAAATAAATTTAACTTTATTTTTATAAAGTTAAAGCAGTATACTTAAATTCAATAAGTTAATCTGGTAAAAAATTAACTAGTTAAATTTAAAATTAAACGCATCAAAAAATAAATAAATAAATTACCTAACTTAATTAAGTTAAATTAATGTTTTAAATTAATTTCAACTTTTTAACATATTAATGCTTTTTTATACACATGTTGTACATGTAATTTTATTTATTTTTTCTTTGAGAAACTGACTAATCCATCTAATCTATAAATTAAAGATACCTATTTTATTAGATATTTAAATGGATCAAATTATATTAGTTTATTGTGTACTTGCATAGTAAATAATCCTAATTATTTAATCAATACCTTATAATTATTATTATTATTATATATATGTTAATATATCATAATATAATAGTACTGAAGTTTGAGCTATGGTTTTCATCTTAGTTTATTTGACCGTAATTTGTTTATACTTAACATTGAATTGTCTTTACCTTGCCATATTCAATAACTTATAAATATAATTTGTATCCACATATACTCTTGATATATTTTGTTTATAACTTCAGTAACTTTGATGTTATAGAAAATTTGGAAGTTAAAAATAAAAGACTGATACCAGAGAATGACATTGGTTTAAGTATTATCAATGTTAACACAAAAAAACACTGCAATCCCAGTCATAAATTTACCTTGGTAAATTTGCAATCCCAAGCAAGCAATTTGGATACTCCTATAGATTTAGTTCCAGAAACTGAGGTACAATGAAAATAAATTATTAAAAAATAAGATAATAAGTATTAGTTTGAAAATTTAGTTTATTGATGTGATCCCAGTTTAATAAAAGATTTATGATATAAAAAGTCTAAATATACTTAATTACTATTATAAGAATTCCAATACAACCTTACCAAATTATTTTTAATTTATTTTATTCTATTATTTTTAGATATTTTTAGATATTTTTACTTATTTTACTTGCTGTACTGATTGTTAATATTTAATATTATAATAATTTATTATAAGTTATATTACAAATCTAAACAAAAACAATATATTGAGACATTGCATGGTAAATTTAGTAATGTCTATTGTAATTAAATCAATAATTAACCAACTCGTTTAATGAGTAATGTTGATTATTAATAAAAAATTGTATAAAAATAATAAAAGTTTTATTATTTTTACTTTACATTGTTTTATTATAAAACACTTTTTAAGCTTTAATAGCTAAGAATCCTCTGTAAATCATTGTAGCATAAAATCTATCTCCAATACTTCCCCATAGTCTGCCGTTATGTCTGAAATTTTAGACATCACATGTACCGCTGGATTGCCTAGAATGATAAAACTCTGTAAGGTACACAAAAAGAGTATATAATATGTCGCAAGCATGTAACCAAAACTTAATTTTAAAAAAATGAGTATGACAAAATCAGTCAGTGTCACATGTCCATTTACAATAAGAATGCTAAAATTATACACTATAAGTATTATTTTTATATTTAAAGATAAAATACTTTTAAATATAAGCTAATTTAAAAAAAAATAATAATAATTTTTCAAAATATCATTTAAAATAATTAGTTGCACCATCTCTTTAATTCATTAAATATTTTATATTTAGTAGCTCATTTAATTTTTCAGGTAGTATTTTTTAATGAGAGCAAAACTTGTTCTGTTAATATTATTCAAGATTCACAAGTTTCACAACAAAGATTCAAAAGGTATTAATTTTTTTTTATTTCATATTTATTTATAATTAATATTTATATTGATTTAAGGCCCTGTGAAGAATATTCAGATTCAGAGGAAATTATTTTTTCCAGGAAGAGAACCCCAATTAATGAAGAAGTAAATATTAAACACGAAATAAAAGGAGAAATTCAAGATGAAAACTTCGAAGAAGAATTTAAAATAGAAATAACAGACAACATAGATAGTTTAAAAAATGAAAATGTGGAACCTGATTTACTTAAAAATAGCTACTCATTAAGCACTGAATTAAAAAATCTATCCACAATTGAAAATTCTTGTATAGCTACAATACAACCATCACAAGAACAATTGATTGAAACAAAAACTAATATGTTTAACTCAAATTGTACTGATGTTGCTAAATCTGTTATACATCAATACAGTTTAGCTAGTAATAGAACTAAAAGGAAAATACATGATACTAGAACCATATTTAATGATAATTATGATGAAGATGACTTATTTGATTATAAAGATATTGATGAAATAGAAGGACCTCCACCTAAAAAAAAAACACAAAATAGTTTATTGCAATCTTTTTTTTGTTTACCAGAGTCTTCTGTTAAAAAGGAAGTTGTATCAAGTGAGAAAACTGATGTTAAATCAATAATAGACCCTGATTATATAATGAAGAATTTATTAGCAGATGTCAAAGATGATGCACAGTTTATTGATACCAGCAATTTAATTTGCAATCAATCAGTAATTTTTTTTTTTTTATTATCATGAAAAACTTCTTATTCTTTTTTCTTTTTTAGAGTTGTAATGAATTGAATCAATCAGAAAATAAAGACTTAATAAATTCAGTAATCACTGAAACTAGGTGTATGGTTGTATCAAAATCAGCTAATAAACTAACCAACTCTACTTCTTTTCAGAATGGATGTTCCTTACCAAATTTCAAAAAGTTTAAAAAAGTATAAATATTAGTGAACATTTAATTACATATATATTATTTGCTTTTTTTGTTTCAGGTAGGACCTACAATTCGTATTCCATATATTGTTCCATTAACATTCAGTCAATTTGATTCTGAATAATGTGTTCAAGTTGGTTTTTTATTTTTAATATTATAAAAATCTTCTAATTACTACAAATGTTTTATTTAAAAATGGATATTTATTTTTCTTTTTTAAGGATTATTAACCACATATTAATGTATTAATATTAAATAATTTAATAAAACATAAAGTTTTACCCACTCAATTACTTGTAATGTTTAGGAGATAGGCCTAAAAAGTATTTAAGTAAAAACTGATGGGATGGTACAGATAGACAATTACTCCCAACGGCACTATTAGCATCAACAAAATTTAAATGATCAAAAACAAATTTATCATAACATTTTTTTTCCCAAAGAATTTTTTTTTCTACATATTATTTAAGATGAAGTGTCCTCCAATGAAACTATTTTGGGTCGGCTCTGCCTTAATAACTTGACAGAATTTTACACCAGCTGTCTACCTGATGTAGCCTCATGGCTGAGAAAACCAGTATAGGTGCAGTGTGACTATACATCTGGGAATCAATAGCAAAGAGTGCAGTTGAATATCATTAATAAGGCGTCGACTGAATGATCCATTGTGCCAAAATACGGATTTTAAATAATTTAATAGTGAGTATAATTGAGCTAACTATCTAGTTTCAAAATCGGCTAAAAGTAATTTTTGAAAATATTCAGCGACAACAACAAAAAAATGTTTTAATAGGGTTATAAGAGAAAAATAATTTTCTATAATCAGTTAAGACAATAAAAATCTACAGATTTTTATTATTGTCTTTTCACAAACTTAGTATATATGCAAGCGCTTTGTTAACGTCTGCCTTTGAATTAATTATCGAATAAAGTAATTGTGCGACGTGTTGTACACAACCCATACATAATTATACGGCGATTTTGTTGAGCATTTAGCCTCGTCTATGAAAAAACTGAATTTATGAATATTACTAATAAAGTTTTTTTTAATCAATATTTCATTTTATTTGATCGATAAAACCAAATTATTATTACAAATAATTAAACGTTATAATTTATACAAATTGTAAATTATGTCGAGATTCGATGTGATTTTAGTAAAATCACATCTTTTTTTTTTGGTACAAATTATTCCTCGATGATATTTGTTTATGATATTATTACATTAAAGTTGTCTTATTCAGACGAGGGTTAAATGCAAATAAAAAACTATTGAAAAGCTATCAAAATTTTAATTATTTTAATATTCAATTAAATGAAATTACTAAATTTATAATTATAACATATTTATGTATTAGGTAGGAGCGTAAAAAAAAATTTATGACAAAAATTGAAATCATATACCCCCAGATTTTTTTGTAAATGCAAATAAAATATCTTCTGAAAATTTGAGTTCGAAAAATAATTGTTTATTAGTCGTGTAATTAATGTCGTCTCTAGAAGAGGTGTTGTGGTGTCACACCCTTCTACTTATCAAAATTTAATCATTTTAGTTGATAATTTTTATATTATGAAAGAAGATGCTGCCAAAAAATTATTATTAAAAAGAACTATTTAATCGGCAGAAATGAATTTATTCACTTATAAAAATAGAAATTATAACATTTTGGAAAAATTATGATTTACCGTGCACTCTTTTTTTTACATGTTTGAAAAAATTAGCGAAAACAAATGGTTTAAAAATTACAGTATCTTAAAATTGCAGAGTTGACAAAACAAAAATACCATAAAATTATTGATTATTACATATTTTCTGCAAAATAAAAAACAAAATCAAATACAATGCAGAACAGTCTTTCTTTTTTACAATTTAATAAAAAAAAATTATTACTAATACAAATAAAGGATTAATTACGCATACTGACTCCGGTGACCGGTTCGATCACCTACAGAACTCATGGGAAAGAGGCACAACGTTCTAAAAACCCCAAGGAAAAGAATGTCTGACCCAATTTCAATCTATTTAAACTCTTTGTACTGAAAAGTACAGCGACCTAATAAGTTCGAACTGTCACACGAAAAAACATAAAAATTTATGATTATTTTTAATTAACAGAAATTATTATTAAAAATAAACTAAAAGAACTTTTTTTAAACATTTTTGGCTTATTACACATTAAATGAATGCGGTTATAATCACATTTAGGTTAACCAATCTATCAAAAGTGTTGACCCTGAAACTGGAGTATATTCAAATACAATAGAAAACACATGGAATCGTGTCAGGGTATTCCTCCACGGCTATCGGTGTAAAAATGACATTCAATAGTGATTATCTCGCAATGTGTTTTAAAAAAATGCTGCAAACAGTATACATAGTATCCAGAAAATACTGACATAGACTATAGTAACAAAAAGGAAAAAATTAAAATTGTTTAAATTATACTTAAAAATAAAATAAGAATACACTTAATACAAAAAAGAAAAAACCGCTACTAACAATCATAGCACTCTGTTGTAGACATTGTAATCGACAAGAGATAATTAATATTTATTATATAAATATATAAATCAAGTGTATTACAACGATTACGAGTTCAGAAAATAATTACGATCTCCATATAACATTCGATAACAAAAGACCCCAAATTCTAAAACGCTATATCTTTTGAATCTACTAATATTAATAGAATATTTTTTGAAACCATTCGGTAGCCCATTCGATAGTTTATGCTAAAAGTAAACTATTCGGTTGTATAAAAACAATTCGAATAGTTATTCAATAGTTTAAAATATTAGAAAATGCCCATCACTAGTTATTACACAAATAACTGTGGATCCTGGAATTTTTTTGAAAGTTCTCATCAGTACAGGACGGTCTGTGTTTTAGGCCATTCCGTTATAATTTTTTCAGGTATTTTTACAGACATGACAATGTAAAGTAACTTTTAAGGAAATGTAAAAAAAAAAAAGCAACTTCGAAAAAATGTTGTTCTAGCTGATTTTGAAACTAGATGCCTTAATTTTGAAATCCCTTCAAAAATAAAATTAAATAACAATATAAAAAATCAATAATCAATTGATTGTTGTTCTACAAGAAAACAATTTAGGACAAATACTTAGACTTGCAACTATTTTAATACATAGAGTGGATATCTAGCATTATAAATACATAATACAAGTATGAAATTCTAGCCCCACATTCCCACTCAATTGAGGAAATAATCAGGGATACCAATGACATAATAAAACAACACATGTCTAAAATAAAAGAATGTTATATTTATTATGCTTTAGTTGTTTTTTTAGCAGCAACCTTTTTTTTTGGACAGTAAGTTTTCTTGAACAAAGCTTGATAAACATTAGTTCTTATCTTATTTCTTACTCTTCTTGCTCTTTTCAACTGGAATCTTTCAAAATCTCCCAAAGAGGCACGCTGTTAAGAATACATAAATGATAATTAATTAATAATTATATACAGGGTGTTCAGTAAGTCAGGAAACGGGTTTCTATTGTTCTCATTGTTACAAACAATGAGAACAATAGAAACCCGTTTCCTGACTTACTGAACACCCTGTATATATACATACATATCGCAAAGAATTTTAGCCAATGTATGAGTAACGTGATACTAGTATTTTAATACATTATTTCTACTAATAATTACAATTTTCAAAATTCAGTAAGATCAGTTCTGTATTATAATATTATTAACTCATTTAAGAATTATATCATGTGTTTCCTAGCTTCTTATTAATAGGATAACAACTGAAATCATAATACATAAAATTGGTATTTTACTTACTTTTTCTCTATTAGCAGCTTTTTCAGCCCATCTACTTTGAATCCAGAGTTTATTTAAATCAGCTTTGAGCCAAGCTTGCCGCACAGTTCTAGTTGATCCATTATATGGGAAGTTCACCTTAAACTTGGTCAAATGAATTTGGCTAATACGCATTTTAGACCTAGGAACACCACTTTCAGGACCATCAACTAAAACCTAATAATATACAATATAAATATTACGCAAGATATTTAATTAAAAAATCTTAATTAATTGAAAATAGTTACCGTCTTTTGGTCAATGCAATCAACTATACAACATATTTTGCCTTTATAAGGACCATCGACAACGTAGACTACTCGGCCAGTTTCAACAAACCTTTTAAAAGGCTATGAAAAAATAAAATAAAATTAATAAACTTTGACTTAATATTTAATAGACATAAAATCAATATTTGAATTATAAACCTAAAAATAAATAATATAATTTGTGAAATTTACATATAAATTTAAAAAAATCTCCCTATAATTTAATATAATTCATTTTTATTTTAAACTAAATGATCGTGTAACCCAATACACGAGTTATGAGCCATTAAATTTAAGTAAGAATAAAAATTTCTACTTAAAATATCATACAACAATATTCATTTTCAAACGTCAGATACTCTGCTTCTGTCCATAAAAAGTAAGTTAAATTGTTTTAATAATAATTAACTTACCATTTTAACATATAAGATTCACAACGCACACGACGTAATTTGTAAAAGAATTATAAAATACTCGATGAACGAGATTTCATAACCTAAAATCAGAAATGGTAAATATTTAATGTTATTGGAAACGAGAAGTATTCCGAGACACCATTGGTTTGTTCCACTACTCCATGAAATTATTCATCAAATTTCTTCCATAGTTCTACACGTATCAACAATCTTATCAGAAAAGAGAAGCCATTTTTTATAATATTCGTGCCGTTTATATATTCTATTCCACAGTTATTTGTACAATAAATTCTACGATTATTTGTAATTACGTGTTGAATATCTGATCATATTCAAAAAAATATTAATATCTCAAATTTTTTTTAAATATATTTTTTGTCAATAGTTTTTAAGTTAACCTCTTTAAAATTAATTCAATATTGTCTTGCCATTTAATTTTATATATAACGCCTTATTTATATAAAAAGTACTTGGTACTATGTCCTATAGATCAAGGTAATTATGATTTTTTAAATTTTACTGAAGAGAAATATTTACAGCTCGTATAAAACTAAAAATGAATTTTATGTAATGATTATGATAAAGATATTGTCATTGGGCATTTCTCAAAATATGAGTTGAAAATTTATTTATTTTATTATCTTTTTTTAAATATTTACATAAATTGTTAAGAGTTAAATTCTCTGCTGTATAAGTCATTGAAATTTCTCATAAGTTTCTTGTTCTTTAACTAAAAATATCATTTTCTCAGAATTAATTAACTTTTAAAAATTTCAGCCGAGGAAGTTATAGTAGTTCTAGAGGTGGGAGTCGTGGTAATTCATATAGTTCAAACTATGGTAGTTCTAGAGGTGGACGAGGTGGAAGTTTTAATGATAGCTACAGAAGCCAAAACAGAGGTAGTAATTCATATAGAGGATCACGAGCTAGTAGTAGAGGAAGTGGTGGGTCATGGTCCAATTCATCTTCAAACTATAACAATTTAAATCGTAATTCCAATTGGTCATCACCTGGAGATTCAAATTATGAGTCTCGTAGTCGTTATTCTGGTAAGTTTCATTATATTAATAGAAATTGAAATTTTTAATAATAATAATTCATGTTAAAATGTATTGTTTATGATTATTTTTACAGGTGGCAATGATCGCTATCCAAGTGGTCATAATGATGACTTTAGAAGATATAAAGAGGTATGTGAAATATGCGATTTCCATAACTGTACATGATATAAAAAATTCTGACAAAATTAGTCCAAAACCTATGTTAAATCATGGTTATTTAAATCTTTTTAAATTAATAAATTTTATCCTCATGCTATATCATAAACCAAAAAGATCATAGGTCTAACTAAAGCTTAATGTATCATCTTTTTTTAATAATTCATTTTTTGCTTAAATTATAAGATTTTTATAAAATAATTTTGTAATAGTTACCTAAAACAAAAGGTGGTCTTCATTAAAAACTAGTAACAACGTAATTACTTATTATATTTATCTTGCCGGGAGAATTATTCTAAAAAAAGTCATACAGCTGAGTGTAGTATATCAACTTATATTCGATGTGTATTTTTTTTGGATTGGATTTTATTGAATTTATTTGATTTGATTAATATTAACTCCATTTGAAGATTTCTAGTTTAAAAATGCAAATTTTCATCCAAGATTATTATAACTCACTTTATTTATAAACCTACAATTGATGGTGATTAATAAAGATGTACTATTTAAATACATAATTATAATATGTGTGTTTAACTACTTAGGAAGTATTTTTTATACATAAAATTATTATATGTGTACATCAAATTGATATATTGATTGAAAATTGCACGCAGGGTGGAAGAAGTCATAGAGACTCAGAAGTAGGTGGTTATTCAAGTTCCAATGATGATTATGGTCGTTATAGTGGTGGTGGCAGCAGTTATGCTGAAGAACGTAGTAGTAGATCATCCTTTGCCCCAGATAATTATGGGGGAAGTAATAGTGGATATAGAGGACGTGAAAGTTCTCGAGATTATAACTCTGATTTTCGAAAACCGCTGCCCCCTAATGATGATCGTTCGCCACCACCACCCCCCAGATACACTGGCCCTTCACCTAGAGGTAGAAGTTCTAGAGGATTCCGGGTTGCTGAGAGACCTGGAATGAGAGGTAGATCTTCTGCCAGTGTATCTTATAGAGGATCTTATGGAGGCAATTCAGGATTGATAAAACGGAAAAGACTTGAACCTGCAACCAGTAGTTGGCGATCAAATCCTGTGCGTAAAGGATATGAAGTAGCCAGTAGAAGAATACATGCAGTCAAAAGGTAATTAAATAATGACTGTCATGTTAATATGAAGAGTATTTAAGATGATCTAAGAATTTTCAATATATGTATTTATTATTTATATAAAGATTAACGTGACATATTAAAAAGTATCAAATTGACTAATTGGCTATTGAGCCTTGTACAATTATGCAAAATTGATAAGACTATTTAACTGACAACACTATATATGAAATTCCTTTTTGGAGTTAATATTGCTGTTTGAATAATAGATGAAAATCGATTTAATTAATGATTATTAATTACAAATATAATAAATAGAAAATACTACAAGATATGTTTTAAAATTGCTTAGTAAAGGTATCAATAACTCAATTGGTTAGCTATTTATTTTAAAAAAAATTTAAAACCCCTAGCAGATGTTTTACTTAATGGATTAAAGAAGTAAAGTTATTTCAAGACGTTGTTTATGTATGGAGTCAAAGTGTGATAAAAACAACTATGATATAAAACAAACATAGCAATAATTAATAATAAAATTTTATGTTATACAGAATATGTGTATCGTAAAATTACTAAAATTTTTATTTCAAAATATTAATACACTATGATCATCTTTTTGTATATAAGATCTCGTCACAGAAAAGATGTTACCTATCCTTTGATTACATTAAACATAAATTGATAATAATTATCAACATTATATACACATAAATGTATTTATATTGTTTTTATTTAATTATAAACTACTAATACTATTTTATGAAACTTATCCAACATTATTTAACATTAATAAAATTAAATTTTTATATCTATTCTACTTATCAATAGAAATTTAAACTCAAATGATCATTGTTTATTAATATATATTTATTCTAAAAAAAAATTAACTTGAATTGTCTTTGTTTACTTAATGTAATTCTTAAAGAAAACAATTATTTGTTCATCTTAAATATTAGGTTAAAATATATGTGTGAAGTTTTTATATAATGTTAATAAGTCTGAAACTTATTAACACTATTTGATATTTATTATAAAGTTGAAAATAGGTATAAAAACTTTTGTTTATTTATTTTATATAGAACTACACGAGACCATGATGATTATCGAGCTAGGAAAATTGCAGAATTTCGAGAAAAAACTCGAGTATGTATCATATATTTATATTTATTAATAAATACTTTTAAATTTTTATCTTGATTTATAGCAATTACGTGAACGTGTTAGAACACCTTCTGATGATGAAGAAGAAGTAGAAGAAGAAGTAGAAGAAGAAGTTGAAGAAGAAGTATCTGTTCATGATGAGGGGGAAAAACTTGTGCAAGATGATCAACAAAATGATGAACAACCCAAGAAAAAAAGGAAAGTAGTAAAAAAAATTGTGAAAGTTAAAAAGAAGTTGAAGAAACAAAAAATAAATGGTGAACCTAAAAAGTCTAATTCAATAATTCTTGATAAATCCTCGGTAAACCATGTAGTATCCTTATGATATCCAATTAATAATAATAATTTCTTTACTGTAGCCAAAAAAAAGTGAAAACCACATGCTTGATTCTAGAGGAGAACCATTTATGAAACTTTTATGTCCACATTGTGAAGTGACTTGTAAAACATTCCGTGTAAGTTTTAGTTAAAGAACATTTTTACATAATTTAATTCATTATAAAATTTTTAGGAATATGAAATACACTTACTAAAAATACGTCATCGTACAGCTATGTCCCAATTGGCTAGAAAACGTAAGCATGAGCTTTTTATGCTACGTCAAGATCAACGTAAGGAACAAAAAGATATTGATGATAAAGTTGCAGAAGAAGATACTAAAAGCAATATAAATTATTGCAAGTTATGTCAACTGAACTTTAAACAACAAAAAAGTGATCATTTTAGTAGTGTTTTACATAAAGTAATGTAATTTTTTTTTTTTACTCAACAAAGTACTAACGATATATTTATATTTTTCAGAAAATAAAGCAATTTATACAACCTGCTTGTAATGTATGTCATTTAATGTTTGCATCACCAATGCGTTATGAACATCATTTATGTAGTACAAATCATTTAAAGGTATTTCTTAGTTTTAGTATTTGCAAAAAAAATTAATATTTTTTATGTTTAGCTGTAAAAATGTTTAAACTAAATGACAAAATTTATCTTAGAATTACATTCTGTGTATAAAAGTTATCAATATAATATCCAAATTAGTAATATCGAGCATTTGTTTTACTTAGAAAGCCAATGTTTATGAAAAACGTACAAAACGTATGGTAACCTTACCCAGTGCAGAAGAAGTTGAGGGTGATGTTGATATGGACAATTTCATGGTTTTAGATTCTGTTGGATCTGGTGATGGTAATTTTATTTATATAACAAATAAGTGGATTATTACTCAATAAATATTATTATTAATAAAATTTAAATACAGATGATATATCTGATAGCGATGAAAATACACAAGGCATCAAAAATGAAACTGAAAAAAAGAAAAAATCCAAACCTAAAAAAGAAATAAGCTTAGGTAAATCATAATAAATTTAATATATTGTCATTGTTTTATAATAACTTTAAAAAAAAGTTCAATGTTTAAATTATTTATTTTGTATGACCTTTAATGAATAATTCTGATTAGGATATGCATCCTACATTTTTTTGTTTTATAATTTTGAATTACAATAATAGAAATTTAATGTGTGTAAATTTCAACCAAAAATAATTATCTTTTTATGACAAATAAATGTATTATTTTTCTTAGATAGCTATTATTTCTATAAATTGATAATATATTTAGATAAATTTCAAAATTCTAAGTATAAAAAAATAAATTGCTTGTTTTGCCATTCAACATCACATATGAAAAATTGTATTAGTTAATGTTAAAATATTACAGATTTTTTTTTATGTTTATAATATAACATTTTAAATTTTATTCAGGAAAAGAATTTTGTAAAAAGGTAGAAGTTTATTACTGTGAACTGTGTAAGTTTAATTTGCCACCACATGAAGATATTGAACAGCAACTAAGTCTACATTGTCGTAATCGTGTGCATCTTCAAAGATATGTTCAACATTGTGAAAAAATCAAAGCACAAGAAAAGCTTTCTGAAAAATCTGAGAATGAAACTTTAATTGAAACAAAAAAAGACAATGAAACTTGTAGTGATTCATCTAATAAAGTATAATATCTCTGTAATCTTCACTTAGTTTCCCATTTATTCAACTGTTAATTATAATTCTAGGGTAATAAAACAGATGTTAAAGACAGTGTATCTGACAAAGTAGACAAATTGAATCAAATTAAAGAAAAAGAAGAGACAAAGGATGAATTTGATTGGTCCTCATTAGATAATGTTATCGAGAGTGATCCAATTAAAGAAGATTCTGATAGTGGAAAATCTTCTACCATAGAGACAAAATAGTTTTTTTTAACTGTATAAGTTTAAATGAAATATTATTTAATAATTCTTCTACTATATAGATAGAATTTTTTTTAATAATTATACTATGAAATTTCATCATGTATTAATCTAATTGAAAAATGTTTACTTTACACTAGTTAATATTAGTATTTAATTAAAAATTATAATTTTGGTAATTCATTTGAATTACTTATAATTATCTAAGTCCTTTTTATCTAAATAGTATCTATATATTATATGTGTATAATATGTAAACTATTACTTTAGACGTGTTGTTTTTACTATTTTTTGATAACTATTCAATTATTAAAATAAAATAGATAAGTATTAATTCTATGTTAATATCCATATAATAATATTTAATTAAGTGTTCTCTGTCAAATTATGTAATTTATTATTCATAATACTATTGATAATAATTTTAATAAATATATTGACGTAGACATAATTGTTGTTTGTGAGTTAAGTATGACACTAATATATAAGTAAAACTAGACTTTTGCATGAGCCAAGGCCCAAAAAATTTTGGATTTTTGAATTATAATCTGTTGAAACTAGAAAAGCTTTGTCCTCTAGCAGGAAAGAAATTAAGTTAATCACTTCCCTCTAAAAATTTTTGTAAAATAGAATTGTCACCATATATTTTTATTATATTAGCTTATATAAAACCCTTAAATTATGTTTATTAATGATTTTGTGACCTCTAACTACAAAATACGGCTTAGTAAAGTTTTATGCTCTCCAGAAAAAGTCCATAATATTAGGTCATGCTAAACCATAGTTTCATCTATGATTTTATATGTTAAATAATTCAAGATAACAGTAATATTTTACATAAAATTCAAAATATTATTTTGGTAAAGTATAAATTTTTATGTTGTTATTACTTGATAGTGAACTTAACTAAGTCAATAAATAAATATTTCACAACAGTCTCAAACAAAAAAATGGGTAGTACTGTAAAATAGGATACTTTGTATCTTAAAAATGGTATTGTACTAAATTAAAAAGGGCCTAGTGTGTTATATCTATGCTATTTTCAGTGAACTAAGACAGAATTATTAAGATATACAATTATTGTGCTTAAAGTATTTATGCATTTACAAATGTAGGAGGTCTCTAATCTTTAAGCTACAATACTTGGCACTTTTTCATTTATTCATACCTAAGAAAAATTTATTAGTGAAAAATCAATAATCTGTGACCAAAGAGTTCAAATTTAATATCTATACGAGTGATTCTCATATTAGATAGGTGAAGAGAAACTATGTTCCTCACACTTAAGACGAAAAAAAATTTTTCAATGTTTAGAAACTTTTATATTAAAATGTGTTTACTACGTATAACTATTATGCAGAAATATTATAAAAATTAAAAAAAAGGTCAAACAATAAATTATAATATGATTTGTTAATAATATTATTATAATAATATAAGAACACTAATTTTCAGTACTTCTATAGCTAAGAAACATCTAAAGATAATTTAATTAAATAAAAATAAAGACGTCAAAAAACATTTTGTTTATTTTGTTAATATAGAAATATTTAATTAATGAATTCTGTTCATACATAAGTTAAGTCTAAACAATGATTTATTTTACAAGAATTCTATTGAAAAAAAAATAAAACTATCATTTAATATAGAAATTATAAAAATGTTGTAAAAAAAATATTTATTTCATGTATATGCACTTTCATCTTCGTTTAAAAGTAAGTTTGGAATACCAGCAGCTATAGGAAATTTTCTACCAGATTCTGGACAAACTAAGTTACCATTAATAATTTCAACCTATAATTATTATTTATATTTCATTAATTATTAATAAATTAAACTTATTGTAATAAAAAAAACTTAGATTATATATTTATTGACAAAAATATTTGAAAATCATATAAAAATACTTCAAATTATTTTATACTAACTTCCATTAGAATATGATGTGTTTTCTTTAAAAACTCTTCATTCTTGTCATAGTTTTCAATTAATTCTTCTGGTAAATCACTTCCATGACCAGCCTAATATAATTTTTTTATTTTATTTAATATAATTAATTTTAAATTTTCTATCAAAATATTATACTAAAAAATTATTTAAAAAAATGTTTTTAAAACTTATTTGTCTATTATTTCTCTGATAAATAAAAAAATTACAAAGAGATACCAATATCATAATTTAGATTCACCTCATAAAGCCAATTATAAAATAGACATTAGACAATGAAATTCAATAAAAACCATTTTCGTGTCCATCAAAATGTGCAATACTAAGTATGCAATTAAATAATGACAATTTTTACCTATAGCTTTTATAAAATCACATTACCTCTTTCCAAATACTCATATCTTCCAGTACACAGTTACACAAGTTGGTTATAATTATTCCAGCACTTTTGTAATCTTAGGAAGCCCTCTGGAAATCTTGAAATGTAAAATTCTTCAGAACACTCTTTAAATGTATTCCAAATCACCATAGCAGGTAATTTTTATAAGTCATATATTAATAGTTTTTTTTAAGTCGAAAATTGTCAAACAACAATGATTAAATGAGCAGGTATGTTTTCATGATAGAAGATTCAGTTGTATTTTAAGAGCTCAAGCTTTCTAAAAGTTGACAAGAAAGACAACTGTTTGTACAAACACAAAACCAATTTTTTTTAGAACTTTTTTGTATACTTTTATAAGTTATTTAAATCAATAAGAATAAGCTCTTTAAAGAAATTCTTTTAATAAAAGAATATTTGTCTTAAATTAATATTGGAATATTCAGATATTCTTAGGATACTCCATCTTATTCTATATCAACTTTAAAATGCACTACTTCTTCATGCACACTTGTGTCAGACACTTGTTGAGTTGGTTGGTCAGCTGTAAATATGTTAAATAGTATGAAAGCAGATATAGCACATTGGGCAACCCTGTCTTTATATTAGATTTCATTGAAAGAGTTGAGCAGTAGTGTATTGAAAAATGACGTTCTGTGAGATAAGATTTAAAAAGTAAGTAGTATGAAGGTGGTGAGAGTAGTTTTAGTTTAAAAATAAGACTATCATGCCAAACTCAATGGAAAGCTTAAGCAAAATCCAGAAAGACGGTAGAACAGTACTGTAATTGTATAATAACTCCAAAAATTACAATAACCGACACATAATTTGGTTTTCTTAGCAGACACTCAACTATTCAACAAATTAACCGCTTAACTGAACACTATTGCAACATTTTAAAACTAAAGTAAAAAATATCTAAAAATAATTTATTATTAACCTCAACAGCTGCATTCACTAGAACCTTCCAATCGAGTTTAGGAATCATCTTAGCAATAAATTCCATGTTGAATTCTGATTCAGAAATTTTTACATCATTAGCCTGCAAATTTTATTTTATTTTATTTTTTAACAGCCTATTATATAGTCAATTCTTAAAAATAAAGTAAGACCACTTACTTCAATGCGAAGAGGATAACCAACTTTAACACCTTTCAAACATTTAGACGACAGTAAGTTATGGGTCAATAATTTCATTTTATCAAAATTAATTCTTATAACAAATTATGAAAAATAGTCAAAAAACATACGTATAATATGATTTTTTAGAAAATTAAAACAGTAAGCAGATTTAAAATAATGATACTTTCATAGAATTTTTGTCCGTTGTTTCAAAATTGTAACTATTGAAAATATTTCAAGTAATGCATTAAAATAGAAGAATTTAAAAATATATAAATTTTTGAGTTTTGATTGTACTTCTAAATAAATGAAGCTACTTAAAAGCAATGTAAGTATGAAACACTAACACATTATATCGAGAACTATCCTAATGATGATAAAAATAAATGAGTTCTGTAAGCCGGTGTATTTAATGATTGTTAAGAATATGATATATTTATTTTGAGGTATATTTAGAAAAATGTGGCGCAATCTAGGCGAATAACAATGATTTTGTCTTAAAGATGCAACAAAGTGTTAATAATCTTTAATTCTACAATTTTAATTCAAATTCTCGTGATGATAAACTACGCTATCTGTAATCTCTGATCTAAAAATATCAGTAATAGAAATTTGTCATATAGTTCATAAAAACAAGTTTCAAGTGTAATTGGTCTCGATTTAACCTTGCATCTAACAAATCAAATGTGACTAGTTGTGCACATGTGTGGCACAAGTTGTGCCTCCTCACAATAAAGACATTAAGCGTATTTATTCTGTATCCGTATTTTGTATAATTATGTTAAATAATGCTGTTCGTGTTATATTGTTATTATCATACATATTCTATCTCACTTCACGCGAGTATTGGAACAACAGAATGTTGAATAAATTAAGATGTAAAAGTAAAAAGTAGCAAATAATACTGTGCTACATGTGGTATATAAACCATTTAAAAATGGTAAAATCGAAAAAAAAATCATCAACAATTACTAAACGTTATTAGAGGTTGTAGAATATACAGTATAGAGTAAACTAGTATAATAATGAATTCTTGACACATTTTCAACTAAAGTTACCAATATGATTTGGAACCATGTTTTGGTCCGAGATACGGAAGATAGTCACATAGTTTAAAGTTCAACTCAATTTCAACCAACTGTTTTACCGCAATTTATGCGTCATACATAAATAATAAAAAANAGTAAAAAGTAGCAAATAATACTGTGCTACATGTGGTATATAAACCATTTAAAAATGGTAAAATCGAAAAAAAAATCATCAACAATTACTAAACGTTATTAGAGGTTGTAGAATATACAGTATAGAGTAAACTAGTATAATAATGAATTCTTGACACATTTTCAACTAAAGTTACCAATATGATTTGGAACCATGTTTTGGTCCGAGATACGGAAGATAGTCACATAGTTTAAAGTTCAACTCAATTTCAACCAACTGTTTTACCGCAATTTATGCGTCATACATAAATAATAAAAAACCCAGCACAGGGGGGTCGCGGCACAGTTGTAACGTGGTATAANCACAGGGGGGTCGCGGCACAGTTGTAACGTGGTATAATTGGATCAAGTATAATGATATCTGACAGTGATTAAAATCACTACCAAAAATAAACGCTTCGATGCAAATCTTTAGATAGTGTTTAATTTAAATAAGAAACGCTTCGATGCAAATCTGTAGATAGTGTTTAATTTTAAAAAATTGATGGATAATTGCAAAATTAACATCAAATTCTATTAAAATAAAATACAAAACCCATAATTAGAATACAAAAATAGCATATTTTTGAATACGGCAGCCATTTGCGTATAAAAGATAGGT